GAGAACACTTTAACCTTGCACTGATCAGAAGCCTCACTGGTTAGATACAGGGCACTGAAGAAAGAGCGAGATCTTTCAATGGTGGGGCATGATTGGAAAGTCTTTACAACCCCTTCTTAATTCTGATACCTCTTAAGTGCCTATGGCCATATGGCCAGACGTGGGAGCAGTCTCTAGAGGGGACTCTCAAGCTGGGACAGATGCTCTATGCCCCACACATGGGATGCCAGAATTGCAAGTTTCTTCAAAGAAAGAGGATTTGAAATTGCTAGAGGATGAAGGAAAATAGACTTTCATAGTAACTGAGAATGTGCTCGGTTAAAGAGTTTGGCTCTGTCGTGACTCTTACTCTAACAAAGACACCTGCTCTCTGCATTTAAAACCAGAAGGCCAAGAGACAGCGGCTGGCTTATTTCTGAGAAGCTGCCTAGCGCTTAAAATAGGAAGAGTAGAAGTCAACGTGGTCTCTTCTAACGTAAAAGAAAACCCTGTAAGCTCATGCTTGGGTAGGGGGTGGTTACGGTTGTGCTCTTCTGTAGTGTGACCCGGTTTAGAATGCAGAACACCTACCTTGTCGTCTACGAGAACCGCGGGGGATGAAATGCTAGTCCTGAGCCAATAAGGGTGGGAATTGTTGGAAATTCTTGGATCGCCTGAACCCGAAGGTAGGAGAGATCGTTTCAAAAATGCAGAGCATAACAAACTACTTAGAAGTTAGTGCTGGTTTTGAGTGTATTTGTATCGATACTTTGACTTTAAACGAAAGTTTATTAAGGTTAATGTGGAAAAGGGGGATGATAGAGAACTCTAAGGTAGGCAGGAGTGAACTGTTCGCAGTGGTTTCTGCATGCTAGAACCGTGGGTGAGCTTTTTTCTTGGATCTGTGCGAAGTGGGACAAATTCCCAACCCCATCTTGCCCACTCTTTGGGGGATTTTGTTCTTCTCTAAAAAGGTAAGAAAATAAGAGAGCTTCCCCCTCAGTTGTAGTTACTGGCCAATCTTTTTTAAATTAAACTTTTTGTTTTTAGATCATTGTGCATTAACGTGTACTTGTAAGGAACGATATGGAGCTCTCTCCCATGTACCCTTTACTCTGTTCTCCCCCTCTGTGGTAACATCTTACATATTTTTATGTTGGTCATTTGGGGAGCGGGGAGGTGCAGAGAGCAAAAGGGAGAGAGAATCACAATCAGGGTCCACACTGTCCATGCAGAGCCCAACAGGGGGCTCGATCCTATGACTGGGAGATGACAATTGGAGCCAAATCAAGAGTTGGACACTTAACTGACTGAGCCACCCAGGTGTCCCAACAACTTACAAACGTATAACATCACAACCAGGATATCAACACTAATACGCGTTGAAGATACAGAACATCTCTATCACAAGGATGCCTTATGTTGCCTCTTTATAATCACCCCCTCTTCCTGCCACTCCTGCTTCTCTTTCTCTACCCCACAACCATTAATCTGTGCTCCAATTCTATACTTATTTTGAGACTGTCAGATAAATGTAATCATACAGTATATGACCTTTTGGGATTGCCTTTTTTCACACAGGATAATTCTCTGGAGATTGGTCTAAGTTGTACGTATGAATTGTTCTTTTCTATTGCTAAGTAGCATTCCGTGGTAGGGATGTGCCACAGTTCGACTAACCGTTAACCTGTTGAAGGACATCTGGGTTGTCTCTGGCTTTTGACTACTGCTAAAACCAAACAAAACTGCTATAAATGTACATTTTAATTTGGAAAAATGCCTAGAGGTACAATTGGTGGATTGTATCGTAGTTGTGTGTTAAAACAAATGTTTGGCAGGGTAGCAGAACCCTAGACATTCTTATAAGTGATGTGACTGCTCTAGTTTCTTCACATCTTCATCAGTATTTCAAGTTGTCACTATTTATTTTAGCCATTCTGCTATGTGTGTAGTGATATCTCATTACGGTTTTTAATTTTCACCCACATAGTGGCTAATGTTAAATATCATTTCATATACTTATTAACTATATATCCTCTTCAGATAAATGCCTGTTCACGTCTTTTGCCCACTTTTCAACTGAATTTTTTTAATTGCTTTCAGAATTCTTTATTCTAGAAACTAGTCCTCTTGTGAGATCTATGGTTTGCAAGTACTTTCTCCTAGTTTATACCTTGTATTTACATCCAATTCACAGGGACAAAAGTTTTTAATTTTGATGAAGTCCAGTGTATTTAACTTTACCTTTTATGGATTGTGTTTTGGGTATCAAGGCTAAGAACTCTTTGCCAGGCCCTAGGTCTCAAAGGTTTTCTATGTTTCTCCTAGTTTTCTATTTTGTATTTATACTGTGCTCCATTTTTAATTTTTGCATCAAGTATGAAATTTATGGATAAGAACCTCTTTGCTGCTGTCGCACATCACAGACAAAACTGCCTCACCTGCCACCTTGCAAGGTTGTGCCTTATTGAGCACTTCTCTGCCACGAGCAGAGCAAAGACTGTCTGTGGCCTTCAAATCTAACGCGAAGGCCTGGCTTTTCCAGTGGCTATGGGTGAAAGGCTGAGCAGACACTTGAGTCCATCAGACTCTTGTCAGAAAGGGTCACTTTCTAGATGCATGATATGGACATCGATCCACCACCCCGGATATGGCACCACCACCCTGAGCCTCAGTTTCTTAACTGGTATTAAGATTTTGAAGGTTAAATCAGATAAAATGTGTGAAATGATTGGTGCATAGTTTTAAGTAAATGATCCCATTCAAACTGACCCATTACAGCTGTTGGAAAATGAGCAAGGGGTCATTGTCAGCAGAAGAAGACCAATTGTATACAGCAAATCCTGAATTTTCAAAGGGTGAATTATCTAGTTTATAGGTAAACTTGGAACTTTTGTACTCTTGCTTCCTAGCTGGGTGGCCAGTCCTTTACCTGGTAACATAGTTAAATAAGGTAAATGAAAATTTTAGCGTAATTCAATTAATTGCTGGAAGATTGGAGGACTTAGGAAAATGACATGGGTGGGAACAGATTTTTTTGTCTGATTTTTTTTTTATCAACTATTGTTAGATTTATGGAAAGATGTGAAATACCTATGCAATTAAACTCTGCCCTAAAATATTTAAAGAAATTCTACTTGTTCTCTTGGAAAGAAAAAATTGTTACCAGAGTTCGGTCCTCAAGACCATGTATATTAAATTTTCTGATTTTTTTTGAAACAAGCCAAATTTGCAAATGCCTTTTAAGCTCCATTACTGAAGAGTATAACATTGAAAAACCAGCTCCTACCTTTACTTCTCTCAGCACCTACTATCTTGTTTCTATTTTTTTTCCTTGCACTGTCTTACCATCTCCATTTTGTCTTATAGAAAAGGTGTAAAGTGCCTCCTTTTTTTTTTTTTTTTAAAAGAAATCTCCTGGCAACATCTCCAGAACTGTGTCTAGGATTAATCATGTTGCATCAGGTGTGCCACAAATACTTTATTTTTATGCAATTGACTTTTTAAAAAACCAAGTAGGCACCAAAGGCATTTGTATTTTCTGTTACAGGACCATTTCAGAAGAGCAGTGTGCAGGGTGAGGCCCTAGGTGGAAGGCAGCAGTCATTTCTGATGTGTTCCTTGGGGGGGGGTGGAAAGACCATTAAGGCTTGTGCACATATACATCATGGGTCCTTTTCAGCAGCACCAGCTTGAGCCATAAACAGTCTCCCCAGTAACCATCCACTCCCCACCCTGACACTGGATCCTCAAAACCTGGAATTGAGACACATTTCTTAGCCTTAAGAATTAGATCCGTCCTTTGTCAGTTTACTGTCTTCTCACTTAGCTAGAGCATGTTTGGAAGAGAAATAGCTAATTGACACAAATTATCATTTGTTGGTATATATATTTTTAAGTTGGATCCTGGCATTGTTTAGAATGCCTAGCCTTTCAAAATCTTCTGACTAGGGGTACCTGAGTGACTCAGTAGGTAAAGCGTCTGACTTTGGCTCAGGTCACAATCTCAAGGTTAGTGAGTTCCAGCCCTGGATCGGGCTTTCTGCTGTCAGCAGAGAGGTCCCTTCTGATTCTCTGTCTCCCTATCACTCTCTGCCACTCCCCCACTCTGTGTGTGTGTGTGTGTGTGTGTGTGTGTGTGTGTGCGCGCGCGCGCGCGTGTGTGTGCATGCATGCGCGCTTACATGCTGTCTCAAAAATGAATAAACTATTGGGGCACCTGGGTGGGTCAGTCGGTTAAAGATCTGACTTCGGCTCAGGTCACGAACTCGCTGTTTGTGGGTTTGAGCCCTGTGTAGGGCTCGTGGTGACAGCTCAGAGCCTGGAGCCTGCTTCGGATTCTGTGTCTCCCTCTCTGTTCCTTTCCTGCTGGCTCTGTCTGTGTCTCTCTCAAAAAGAAATTATTTTTTAATTTATTTAAAAATTTTTAAACTATTAAAAAATATCTTCCAATTAGAAGAATAAGCCTGTGTTGATATTAGATCTGAAACCTGAAATAGGGATGCCTGGGTGGCTCAGTGGGTTAAGCATCTCCTGATCTCCGCTCAGGTCTTGATCCTCAGGGTGGTGAGTTCAAGCCCTGTGTTGGACTCTGTGCTGGGCATGGAGCGTACTCTGAAAAAAAATAAACCCCGACAATAAGCTGAAGTTTCAGGAAGTTTGATGTTGACCTTTGATACCCCATAGAGTCTCTGCTTCCTGCTAACACATGAATTCTCATTGCCTCAGACTATCACAGGGAAAGGTGAAAAGATAAGAAATTACTTTCATAAAATTGACATTATACTAAATACTCATAAACCATAATCAACCTAAAAATTAATGTAAAATAGAGACTGAGAACCCTATTGCTTGCCTAACTTAATCTCTCCCCTGTGGTGAAACCAACTGTGTTTTGTTATTGTGTGTACGTTTCGAAGTCCCTTTCCATAGCTAACTACACCCAATGAACTCAATTATAACTCTTTGCTCCCATGTTTTCATCCTATTAAACGTTCTTTTTCTTTTTCTTATTATCCCAGAATCCCGCTTCTCAACGGTACGGTTCATCTCGACAGCCAGGGAGAGAGCCTGGATGCTCAAGGTAGGGTTTAAATATAAAATAGTGTGGGAATCCTTGTCTACTGATGGAATTGAAGTATTGGTGCCTTTGTAACAATTTATTTTCAAAATCCCATTTTACAATTAAAGTATTCCAGTAAACCTTCTCCGTTAAAACATTATTTTTCAAACTATAATCCATCTCTCAAGTGTATCAAGGGCTAATTAACCACTATCAGCAATTCCTCTAAAAATGGCCAAGCAAATTAAAGTTTACTTTTGGAGATATTATTAATGATAAGTGAAGGGAGAATATCAAGATGTAATCAAGTCATCTCAGAACATTCAGTATTATTTGTGAACAAATATTCTATTTCATTTATTTATAATCAAAATCAAGGCAAATTCTCAGACTTTACAATAGGGAGTGGAGAGGATTTGGGAAGGAGACAAAGACTCAAAGCCTCATTTTTTTTTTTTTTTTCAGTTTAGGGTTTGTGTTTGACACCCTATCGTTTCAACTTCACTTATCTCTCACTGGTATTCTGAGTCTCTCTAATGCCTTCAAGGTTCACTCACCTCCAGCAGCTCCCTAGAACAAAGGAACAATTAACTGAAATTCCACCAGATGGCAACCTTTGGAAAGCCATCCACAGAGGTTTCAAAGCTGTGAGCTACTGTTGTTCAGAGAACAGTCTGAGTAAAACATCCAAGACTTCACCAAAAATGTTCTAAACATCTTTAGTTTTATTTCTTTCCCCCAACACCAAAAATTTTTACCAAAAAAAAAAAAAAAAGTTTCAGTACTAAGAGCTCAAATCAATGGATAATATATTTGGTTTGGGGTTCCATTGTGATAAATGCTGTGATTAATGGTTATTTCTTAATTATTTGAGCAGAGAAAGCTTAAATACTAACAAAGGATAGCATTTTAAGTAGTTATCTTGATATCAAACCAAGTGAAATTTGCAGGTATAAAATTCTTACTTGTATTGATGTGAAATAATTTATTTAAATGGGCTGAATAAACTTTTTTCCTTTTGCTCTAATGAAAATGGAGATCCTGAACTCTGACTGGTATCCAAGCAGCGGGACTTTTCAAGGACCAGAGCTGGGACAGAAGGAAGTAGAAAGGCATGTGAGGGCAATTAAAGTAGAAAGAATCAAGGAGACCAGGAGAGTCACCTGAGCTTGCTTCATACACCTAAAAGCCGACCTTGAGTGCTCTTTGAAACTTCTTTTGCTACCAGCCCTTATGGTAGGGGGCCCATGCGTCTGGGATAGTCCTGGTTTACTTCATTGTCTGGGAGCATGGTCTCATAAGCACCCCCTTTCACCCTCAAAAGTATCTGCATTTGGATGATAAATTCTATAGATGCCTATCTCCTAGACCGGTATGTTCAAAGAAAAAGTAATAGAAAAAGGTACCCCAATGCCTAAATGGGGTGTCTATTTATAAATGTCTTTATATCTAGGACTACAGGACAAATGCTCCCTTTTCTGTAAAGAGCCACATCATGAATATTTTCTGCCTGGTGGGCTATACGGGTCTCTGTCACTACTATCCAACTCATAGTGTGAAAACCGCCATGGACAATACATAAATGGCTTGGCGGTGTTCCAATAAAACGTTATTTATAGAAACAGACAGTAGATGGCATTTGGCTGGCAAGCCATAGTTTGTAGAACCTTGTGAGATAATAGTTCTCCACCATTTCCTATCTCCTTAACAAGAAGACCACTGTTCTTCATACCTCTCCTTGCTCTTCATATCCCTTGTGGCTTGCAGCCTCCTTACTTAACCCTCTCAGAAACTAGTGTTAATAGTTGCTTGAGTGAGTCATCTCACTCACTTGTGTGGTTCCTGAGAATCCTTGACTGAGTCTAGCTGCTTGCTCCTTATCCAAATCTGTTTCTGCACTATGCCCAACAATGCCTGTACCTTCTACCTTATGACCCAGATAGCCTCCCTAGTGAGGTCTCCTTTGAATCCTGGAGTTAAATCCTAGAGCATAGCTGTTTGTAGACAATTCAGTTTTATGCTTTGGTCCTCACTAAATAACTATCTATGGAAAATATAGCCACATTAAGGAAAGATAAATGTTGATTATGCCAAATTTTTATTATAAAAATGATACATTTATAAGAAAGTTTGGAAAGAAGAAAATCACCCATAACAACACCATCCCAAAATAACTTCAGTTTTTTGCATATTTTCTTTTCTCACAAGTATTCCTGTTCTTCTATATTGGATGTGAACTTTGTGTTTTACTTAGTGTTAGTCATAAGCTTCTTTGAAGATCTTCAGAACTATCCTTGGAACACTATCATATCAATTATACCGTAGTAGCCTCCAATTTTGTTGTTGGTTTGGTTCAGTCTAATTTGTATCTTTTTGTTGTTGTTGATTTCCTTACTACAAACTCCTAGAAGTGGATTATTCAAAGATATGACCATTCTTAAGACTTTTAAACTAGTCTATCATATTTCTTCACAAAAGGTTTGGAGTCCTTAGCACACTGAGAGTACTAGCCTCACCACAACTTGATCAGAAAGAGCATGTAATTCAATAATATTTGAGTGTCTCCTATATGTAAAAAAACAGTGCTAGTTGCTTTGATATACATATAAAAATGATAAGCTTTTCCCACATTTATTGAGCGCCTGCTCTAAACTATATATTGTAGAGTTTCCATGGTGAGCAGAAGATAGCTCATGTCTCAGAGTCTGACCTTATTGGGAAGCTGAGATAGATAAATGTAATCTCTATAACTGTATACAAAATGAGATACACCATAGGAGAAATACCGAAAGATGTGTCGGGAGCGTGGGAGGGCAGGTGGAAGGAAAGGTTGGGGTTGGAGGGTAGAGGTGGCATCTGAGCTGAACCTTGGAGGTGAGTTGGATTGGGATACTAATGTTGGGGAGATTGGCCGTTCATACCAGAAACATTTATGGATGTGCCAGGTGCTACGCTAAAAGCTAAGGTTATAAGGGTAAATAAGATAGGGCTCTTAAAGGTTAGCATCTAATGGAATTGACTGTTGTTTTTTTTTTAATACACTAAGTAGGATGGCTTGTCTAGCAGAGGATCCACTGGGGATAGGGATAAAGCCAGGGTCCTCTCTGGAAGTGGAGCTGTTACTTGACTCCTCTTCTGACAGTCTTCCTCATTAGTTTCCTTTTCATAATCTGCGGGAGATCTGCTTCTATAAGTTTGAAGGTTATTCTAGTTGGCTGACCCAACATTCCAATTAAAATTGGCCTAGGGGCTCCTGGGTGGCTCAGTCGGTTGCGTGGCCGACTTCGGCTCGGGTCATGATCTCGCAGTCTGAGTTCGAGCCCCGCGTCGGGCTCTGTGCTGACGGCTCAGAGCATGGAACCTGCTTCGGATTCTGTGTCTCCCTCTCTCTGTCCCTCCCCTGCTCATGCTCGCTCTCTCTCTCTCTCTCTCTCTCTGTCAAAAATAAACACTAAATTTTTTTTTTTTTAATTGGCCTATACTTCTAGCCCCATCCCTACTCAGTCCTCAGTGAGTATATTCACTGAGAATACACTGAGCTAGGGCTGGGATCCCTGGCCCTCACCAGCTGAGGACTGGAGCAAATCACTAAGAATTAAAAGGGTTTCATTTACATCTTGTTCTTTAAAGAGCTGGAAGAAACCTCAGTCTAATCCAACTCCCCCCATTTTAAAGATGAACGTTCTTGGGTGAGAAGAGTTAAGTGACAAACCTACCATTGGATGTTTGATGACCAAGTCCAGGCACCAGACCCTGACTTCTGACTCACTCACTGCTTGCTCTGTGCTCAGTGCTACAATTTTCCCTGCCTACCTATACCGTAGGGGTAATAAGAACTAAAAAGAGAATTAGCCCATGCATTTTTTTTTCTGCATGTAGAAGCAATATGTGTCGTACCCATGTCAGGCCACTGCTAACAAACTTGAAATTCTAATTTTTACATTACATTTTTTAATTTAAATTTTAAATTTTAATTTAATTAAAAAATTTACTTAGCTAAATTAAATTTTATTTTATTTTATTTATTTATTTTAACGTTTGGTTAACGTTTGTTTTTGAGACAGAGAGAGGGAGAGAGCATGAACAGGGGAGGGGCAGAGAAAGAGGGAGACACAGAATCCGAAACAGACTCCAGGCTCTGAGCCGTCAGCCCAGAGCCCGAGGCGGGGCTCGAACCCCCGGACCGCGAGATCGTGACCTGAGCCGAAGTCGGACGCTTAACTGACTGAGCCACCCAGGTGCCCCTAAATAGCTAAATTAAATTTTAAATTAAATTTTAAATTAAATTTTAAATTAAATTTTAAATTAAATTTTACAACAGTGATGAATAGATTAGTAGAGAGGGAAATGTGGAACAAATTCCTACATCTGCTATTTTCCTCCTTTAGCATCTGGACAAATAACTTGGCCACATGAGTTTTTACATCTTGAGTTTGTTGTAAGAACACTTGGAAGAAACGCAAATGTTGGCTACATCATGGGCACTCAGCAAGTATTTTTCTTTCTCCTTCCCACCTAGAGCTACAGGTTCTTGACAGGGGTCCTTTTGTGTATTAATGAGGTTACCCTTTAAAACTCAGGACAATAAATGATGCAATGAGAATACACTTATTTATTTATTTATTTATTTATTTATTTATTTATTTATTTATTTATTTATTTATTTATTTTAGAGAGAGAACGGGTGAGGGACAGAGAGAGAGGGAGACACAGAATCTGAAGCAGGGTCCAGGTTCTGAGCTGGCAGCACAGAGGGGGCAGCACGTGGGGCTCAAACTCAAAAACTACGAGAACATGACCTGAGCTGAAGTCAGACGCTTAACCGACGGAGCCCCCTGGGAGCCCCGAGAATACATTTATAGAAGTATCTGGTATAGAACTTAATATTCTCATTTCTGAATTTCACTTAATTATGCTTAAGGAGCAATTTAGAAGGTTTTACTCATGGTTCTTCACTCTTCAGTACTTATTTCATACGGTCTATGAACATGGTATAAGGCTAATTTTTAAAAATTGTATAT